GTACATGGCACGTGGCTAGGGCCCCATAAATGTCTCCACCTTCTTACACTGAAACATTAATCTGTAAATACCCAGGTCTGGAAATGGCCCTGCACTAGCAGATCCCCAGACCAATGAGCTTGCGGCGGCTTCCTTCGGGTTTCTAGACTCCACCATAGTTGGAAGGATTGCTTCAAGGAGATGGACAAACCCTCGTAGCAAGGGTCCTGTGGTTCAATGCTTCTTAGAAACCCAGAGTCCCACACAGGAGTCCAGAGTTACACACTGCTACTCACACTGATCACCTGACCTTTTGAGTTGCACATCTGTGTTAAACAAAACTGGCTGAGCTACATAACCTCAGTCACGTTTGTGGATCACTGAAGATCCTGGGTCAGTGGTCGTAGTAGCCTTCCACAGTGCTACATGGAGAGTGCCTGGGGTGTGCGGCAGAACAGGCTGCAAGCATGTGCACTTCATTCCACTGCAAGGGTAGGTGGGACAGCAGCACACCGGGAAACCCCAGAGTGGAACCTGGCTCAAGCCCGACCTTCTCTTCCATCTCCTCCATTGCTCATACATGCATATAGCTTTACAATTATATTAAACACTTCCCTCTTAGACATTAGGGAAGAGTGACAAGGACTCTCTCTCTCTCGCTCTCTCTCTCTCTCTCTCTCTCTAACACACACACACACACACACACACACAGGCTAGACCTCAACTTCTTCAGTAGCTGCATAGCTGGGATTCCAAGCCACAGCCTTCAGTTCTAGATTCACACAACAATTAACCCTTGGAGGCTGCAAGGACCATAGATAGCCGTGCCTGCCTTGCTTACCACTGTATCCTTAGCACACAAGCAGCACACAGCAGCCGCGTGCACGCGCGCGCACACACACGCGCGCGCGCGCGCACACACACACACACACACACACACACTGAAGCAATGGTAGCCCATACCTCATACATGCAGTGTGCCTCTGCATTTGCTCAACAGTAAGGTGCCTCCCAGTCTGGCAAACAAGGTTCCGAATGGTCAGGAACCTGCCATCACCTCCCTGTGCTGTCCATCAGCTGCTCTCTTTCCCTTCCTGATGGAATGTAACAGTATAGGACTTCCAAGTTATAAACAGGGAGACAGAGCTACCTTCAAAAGCATGGATTACCATACGTTAATCTCAACTATTGACCACTGACTACTTTTTATAAGCATTACATCAAAAAGAGGCCAGCTGGGTTACCTGGACAGGACTGTATACACCCACTGGATCTAAGTTGAACTTTTTTTTTTTTTTTTTTTTTTTGGTCTTTTTGAGACAGGGTCTCCCTGTAGCCCCAGCTGTCCTGGACCTCACTATGTAGACCAGGTTGGCCTTGAACTCACAGAGATCCACCTGCCTCTGCCTCTGCTATGCCTGGCTGAACTATCTTTTAAAAAATTTTTATTACATTATTTATGTATGTATTTGTGGGGGAGGGGGTAGCATGTTAGCACGCGGGGCCCAGGGATCAAACCCAGGTCCTCAGGCTTGGCAACACACGCCTTTACCCACTAAGCCATCTCTCTGGCCCCTGAACTATGTGCCTTATTCACTGGAGACCAAGGCATACTAGTGTCCTACTCCCTGGATTTACTTTTTGACAACTCGAGGAGCTTCCAACAGCAAAGGCATCTGTGAGCTGGAGTGACGGCTCCTGAGGGGTTTCCCTGGCCTTTCATGGCTACAGTCCCACCAACAAGCACCAACAATGTAACTCTCACAATAATAACCCCTAAATTAGAAGCTAAAGCTCTGCTAGGCAAAGTGCTTTGAAATTGTGGAGCACTTAGGGGTTAGTGGTAAGATTACTGCCTGCTAAGGAAATGCAAATAAATCTCATTTGCCTGAGCATTCTTAACAGGGAAGGTGAAAGGATTCCAGGAAAAATCATGGACTTCTGTTTCAAAGTCAGATGCAGTTTTGAATCTCAGACCCCTATTTCCCAGAGGGCAAAGCTGGGAGCTAGCTGTTTTTCCTACCATCAAGCCCACTGAAAACAAAAATCATGGTGGTCTTCATTTATTACCCACTTCCAGCCTGACCAAACTATCCACACTGGGTTGCCAGATCATTCAAGTTAGGAATAAATATGACAACAAGCCATTAGAAAGTACTCAGGAGCCTGGGGAACACTAAGAACAAATTAAAGAAGGGCAAGTATGAAACCCAAGTGGCCAAGTTCAGACACATCCCAGCAGAGTACTCTAAGCAACTTCCTGTTTTCCTTTTTTTTAAGAACTCTCTTAAATAGCTGAGATTACAGGTACGTGGCACTACGCCCAGCTTTCTAAGCTGTACCTTTCAGTGCCAGGTACCGTTCTAGGCTCCAGACAGACCGAGACAGAAACACAAGACCCAAGTCACTGCCTTTAAAGAGCTCAGCCTACAGCAATGCACTACTGTGTCTATTAGACATTTCCTAAGAGGAGGATCTGTACACAGTTTGCAGATATAAACACTGCCCCTCCCTTGCCAGGTTTGAGCATCCCATCATTACGTTTCTTAAACAGTGTCATTATATCAGACACATAAGCAAGGTTAGGTCTGGAGCCTGCCAGGTGTGCTTCTGCAAGCCAAGAGTGGTTCGTCCACAGACTGAGCACTGCCTAGAATAAGTTTCACTGCCCCAGCAGTCACCTGTCAAAGGAACACAGTCAATGCCTGGAGGACTGGAGATTAAGAGCTCTCTCACACAGGTGAAGCAGTATCGTCTTTCCACGCCCATCTTTTCACTAGGTCCCAATGAGCATCAAGTACATGGCTCTTTGGAAACCTCAGGTGCTCTTCCTAGATCCTTGCCCTCACTTTTCTCTTCCATGTGGAGGACTGTCCTTCCCTCTAACATGCTGCTGTGGGCAGCCCCATCTGAGCCCCACTCCACCATCCTCTTCTACTCTGAGCACACGCAGGATTTTAAAGTCCTCACCCAAAACTGTCCTGGACAAGTCCTTCCCCACTTAGATCAATATAGGGCCCAGCCCTGCCCACAGGCCAGTTTTCAACCAACAGCAACAGTAAGAAAAGCAGTATTGCCTATGTTTTTATAATCAATACATAGGAAGTTTATTAGCTAATCTGAATTAGTCACCAAGTTCAGCTGCAGCACCCCGATTAAATAAGGAACTGGGATCCTCAAAAACATCTAGAGCCCAAAGTCCAGTTGCAAGCATCTACAGATGGCACCGGAGTGGAGACCCTAGAGGCAGGTGGGTGGCCTGAGCTCTCCCCAGATCACTCTACAAAGCTTCCTTAACCATGAGGGACCCTTCCACCTAGGTGCTGGGTCTGGTCCACCTACGTGCTGGGTCTAGTCCACCTAGGTGCTGAACCTGCTCAGCACACAGCATCAAAGTGGTCGGAGGGCGGGCTTATGTGTGGAGGCCTCAAATCACTTGCTCACACAGTGCCTGCAGTCATTACCAAAACAAACACAAGTTCAGCTAGCTTTCAGCCCTGGAGAGTTCGGCTCACCGGATCCAAAGCACCTCCATAATCAGCAGTCCCAACTCTTACTAGCTGACAGTTCAGGGGGAAAGGGAAGCTGCGCCTGCTCCGGTGCATCCTGTCCACGCTGTAGAGATGGACTCTGAGCTTGATGCCCCTAACTCCCCACGCGCCCCAGGGCCTCACGAGAGCGATTGTGCGCTCATCCCTGTCCACTGCGCTTGCCCACCCTCAACCTGCTCTGCACAAGGCGCACAGCACTGGCTACCCAGGCGGCACGGAGGCGGCGGCCAAGGGAAGGGCCCTGCTTTGCCTTCCGGGCACACAGATGCCGCCCTTCCCTCCCTCCCTCCTTCTTCCCCCCACCTCCCTCCCTCCCTCCCTTGCAGACTCCCAGGAGGCCTCCCCAGAAGGGGCAAGCCTGGAGCCTGGGAAGGCAAAGCACTCTGGACCACCCCCACCCCGGCTGGGGCTCTCCCCCGCTTGCCAGGGGCTGTCTAGCAGGAGCGTCCTAGGAACAGGGGGAGGGGACACCTGGGGCGGGGGCAAGTCAGGGAGCAGCAGGGTCGGAGGCGAGGGTGACGAGGGCAGCGCGGGGCTGACGCAGGGTACGGTAAGAACAGGGAGAAGTCTGAGGGAAGGGGATCGGTGGGGGCAGGGAGGGCCAGGAGGGGACCTCGGCAGGGGAGAGGTCCAGACTTAGGACCACGGAGAGAAGCTCCACGGCATGAAGGAAAACAAACCTAGACTAAGGACCCTGGAATGGGGTTGTCAGGGTACAGGCAGAGGCCAAGGAGAGGGGAAGAGAGTTTGAGGAGGAAGGGGCCTAGCTTGGGCCATAGCACAGCTCCTAGCCTTTGCCTGGGTCCAATGGGAAAGGGGAACCTAACTCAGGCCACGGGGTGCAGGCAGAGGACTACGCTTGGGAGGGGGGTGCTGGGACCGGTCATGGGGGGGAGATCTAGCCCGGGTTCTGGGAGAGGCTATCCAGAACACACAGGGAGACTTGGGCTCCAACTGGAGCCAAGGGCGGGGGCAGGGGATCGAGGCAGGCGAGGCAGGGTCACTGGCCACCCAGGCCGCTCGCCACCAGCTCCTGACCCCAGGGGTGGCGTCCACCTGGAGTCCCAGACCCCGCCCCTCCCCCACCCCGAATACCCACCCTCCCCGGGCGGAGGGGGTCGACGGGGAAGGGGGACGCGAGCTGCGGCGGGGTCCCCCGCGCCGGGGCCGTAGGGGAGTCTCTTTACCATGGTGGCGGCGGCGGCGGTCCCAGTCCCGGCGTCTCTGGCTCTCCCCCCCGCAGCAGGGCCCGGCGCTTCCACTTCCCCGGGTGCCCAGGAGTGAACATCCGGGTCAGCGCCCCCCTCCCCCCCC